TATGTATATTGACTTATGTGAGATCTTCTAACTCTAAATTAGTTAACATAATCTAATTGTGTTCAAAGATGTCCATAGAGTGATTTTACAGTTACAATTTAACGTACATTTATGGTGTAAAAAACCCTAAATAACTCTTTAAAGCTCCTAAAGTAACGTCACATGTGTTTTTAGTACTCTAAACTGACTTCATGCTAACTGTTTGGTGATATGTATAGTGACTTATGTGAGGCTGTTTAACTTTAAATAAGTTAACTTAATCAAATTGTGTTCTAAGATGTCCATACAATTTGACAAAGAGTGACTTTAGAAGCTTGTTGTACACTTTTTAAAGTACATTCATGGTCTAAAAAACAACTATTGAATGCTCCTAAAGTTACCTCACATGTGATTTGAGTACTCTAAACTGGCTTTATGCTGTTGGTTATATGATTTTAAGACTTCTATAGTGATTTATGGTGTGTAATGTCTTTAAATTACCCTTTTAGTACTCCTATAGCTTCTTATAAGGTAACTTTGCTAACCTAAACTGAGTTTATAGTAAACTGTTGGTGTTTAAATCTCCTTAAATATCAGTATAGTACTCATATGGGGACTTGTATTGTGTTTTTCGATCTCCAAATTGAGTTTATGGTGTTTACTTTTCTTGAAATACCTGTATTATATTTCTTTATTGGCTTACAGTGTGGCTAAACCTTATTTAATAGTGACATCATGATGTTACTGCATCCCTATAATAACCAATAAGTGACTTTTAATGTGACTTTATTACTTTTATAGTGAGTTATGATACCTTACGTATACGATGTATTGTGTATTGACTCCTTATTGAGACTGTTGATAGTCCAAACTTAGTTTATAGTGACATTATGGTGTTAAAATCTCTTAACATTTAATTGTAGGATTCGCTGACCTTTTATTATACAGTGTTTGATTTGGCTCATATTGAGTTTCTCTTAATCTTTAGTTCTCCTTCTGTTTCAGTGACATTACAGTGTGTTTATGTCCCTATAATGCTCATAAAGCCACCTATCATCTAACTTTATTACTTATATTGAAGGTGAGTTTCAGATGTCCTTTCACTACTTTTGTAGCGACTCAAAACGTCCTTAAATATTCCTATACTGACATTATAGTGAACTTTAGAGTCCTTATTGTGTTTACCAACAGGACTTTTAAGTGTTGTTACATCACTGTATTATCCCCACGGTGATTCATTGTGTCCGCGAGCTTGTTTTAGGTTTATTTATAGCGCAGTATCTTTATCTGCTTTTATACGAGGTATGATTGGCCTGCTGTCAGTAGGTGTGGCTCTGCAGAAGCCCTTTGATAGTCCGTTAACGACCTACATTACGACCCGACAGTGTGTTTCATCTTGATTGTGTTGAGCCATTCACCCGGTTTAACGTTGGATTGTTAAAGGGCCGAAAACGTGCATTTGCTCAATCATTCAACCAACCGATATGTACTGTATGTTTAAAGACCTGATTATACACAAACGGTAACACAAAGTGCTTTAAACTCTGAAAACAGCTTAAAAATTAGAATAAAAACAATCCATAGACGCAGCAACGCTTACCTTTCTGATTCAGTAAAACACTTGAAACCAACCACATCATTATTTATGTAAACATTAAAGTGAAAACATTTCCAAAAATAAAATGGAATAACAAACATCAACAGTAAATACATTAGATTAGATTAGATTTAAATATGTACAAGTGTGGATAAACACGGGACTAAATAAAGCAAATATATATAATATGAACACTCCCTAACAACACATGTAGCTTCTCTCGGTGAATCAGTGGAGCGTTTGTTTCTCTCAAAGGTGTGACGACGAGAGTTATGAAGTTCTCCTGTTTGTCCGGCTCTCAGGTGTGTCTACCTGCGGGACTGTGTGTGTGTGTGGGTGGGGCTCTCACACACACACACACACACAAACAAACACACACACACCTGACACCCGGCGGCAGCTGCTGCACACATTAATTATCCGTCGCACCTGCAGAGAGGAGTGATGCATTGTGGGTGTGTGTTGTGTTGGAAATGACGGCTCAGTGCGATGGGGAGTTGACTAATGGTTAGTCAATGGAAAATAATTCAGCAACCATTTGGATTATTGATTGTTTAAGTAAATGGAATGCAAAAGGCTTTTTTCTGCCTCTTAAAGAGAGATTTGCCTTTTATTTTAATGTTTAAATCAGATTTAAGTGAGTATCTTGAGGTTTGAAGTGGCAAAATAAGATATTTAAAAACACAATTTTGTATATTATAAGTTGTTTTTAGGGTGAGTTCGAAGCAATTTTCAAGAGTTTTACGGCACTTTTTATTAATAGGTGCTGTCCCCGTTAAATAGACTTAGGGAGCCAAAGCTGGACATATTCCTCTATTTTCTGTCATTTTATGGAGCTAAATATTATTTAATGGTGACCGAGACCTATACTCATTCAATTAACTGAAAAATAAAGAGCTTTTTGATGATTAAAGCGTGGAAACACGTGTTATTAGAGTCACAAAACACAACAATATAAACCTGAAGATTAGCATTATATGGCCTCTTTAAAGCCCTTCACTTCCTTCAGTGTTATTGAGCCAACAGGCTGATATCTCGCTGCCCTTTTGAACCTTCCTGATAAAACAAAACTGCAAAAACGAGGACTTCCTGTTTCCATTTCTACAGTATACCTCCTGCAGGGGATCAATTCTTCACTTTGTTGAAGCTTCCTGTTGTAAACCACTGAGCAGGTAGTTTCCGCACAGATATACGCAGGGAGTTTCTTCTTCTACTTCTTCATCTTCTTCTTCTGTGATTGTGCCTCCTCTAATCGCAGGCTGTCACTTGAAAGAGACTCCCGAGTGTTTCTGGGTGTTAAATAATGTGTTTTGGCTTCAGGTGGTGAGTCAGTTGTTCTGTGGTGTGAATCAGAGTTTCAGTTTTACTCTCCTCCTCATCCTCCTTGTATTTGTTGTTTACATTACAGTCGAGTGTTTTTCTACAGAAGTCATATGGACTGAAACACAGTTCCTGAGTTGGACTGAGTTAGGGCTGCACGAATTTTGGAAATAATCTATTTCTGATTTTTCTGACAGATATTGAGATTCGATTTGCGATATTTGTTTTTAAGCGACCCAACGGAAGTTTATTGTAAAATGCGGCCATAACTCCGGCTAGGAAGGTCGTATCAATGTGCTCCCGTCTCTAGCACCCCGCAGCCCGAGCTACGAGTGAAAGAACTAAACTTACATGAAACTTCCGTTGGGTTGCTTTAAAGTCAAGCTTCAGTTTAAGATTCACCCTGTAATAGAAACATGTGATGGAGCATTACTAACCTGACTCAGATGGTTTGTTTCACCATCTAGGAGAGCTCCATTGGAAGCCATTTGGAAAGGGCAGGCACTTTCAAAAATACTTGGCAGGTGATTGGATCAATCTGTCTATCACCTTCTATCATGGGCCACTTCTGATTGGTTAACAATGGCTGGCACATGTGGAGCACAGCACTTCTGATTGGTGTGGATGACTGACACACAAGAAGAACAAAAAAATAAATCGCAGGCTTTGCGATTTTATAATTGCATCGTTTCAAATTTTGTTTTAAAATCGATGGATCGTGCAGCCCTAGACTGAGTTTAGAAACATGTCACAACAGACAGAGATCAGGAAGAGCTGAAAACCATTATAGTTTCACATATAATCAGTATGTATGGATGAAAAACAAAACAAACATCTAAAGACAATTTGGGCTAAGTAACATATTGCATGATTTAAGATACTGACACATTGATATTTATAATGTTTGTTGTTGTCCTCTTCTACACTGCACCCCCGATACCGGGGGGAAAAACGCGTCATCTGCAGGATGAATGTTTCATATCCATGTAACGGGAAGAAACTCAGCTAACTGATCATTTTAATTTTTTTTTAAAACCACAAAGCTAGCGCTGAGCCTATGAATTAAGTACTCACTTACTAACCAAGAGAGTGCTACGCTTAGTTACCCCAACCTGCTCGTCGAGATGCTATTCAATTGATTCCCACACAATACTCACTCAAAAGACACGTTGGTGGGCAATCGTAAATATAG